ACAGCTCTGTATTTGCTTATCTAGCTGAGCTCCCAGGAGGCTGGAACACTGGCTGTGTGTTAGTGGAAAGAGGAAGATTTTTATCCCAAAATAAAGCCTGGGGAGGCACAAGATGGTTTCACCTCTTTCCCAGCCCACATTTCTCACTGAGAGGATTTTTTTTTCCAGACACCCACAGGTCTCTGAGGCCCCTTCTCTGTCTGGACTGACCCAGGGTGGATGTCCCATAGCCAGGCTCAAAGTGCAGCCTAGAGACTGCTGGTAATGCCTGCTGGAGAGTAGAGCTGGCACCCAGGGAAGGGATAAGTGGCAGTGAGGGTGGGAGGAAAACTGGCTCCTTGTCCCTGGGAGAAAGGCCAGACCCCAAGAAGGGGGCTGGGAACAATGCAAAGTAAAACCTTCCTCATGAGAAGCAAGGACATGCACCTCAAAGAGCTCCCATCCCTCAGCAGGGGTGGAGAAGGGTTGAAAGCAGGGTGTTGATCCTTTATAAACTGAACTCTGGGCCAGCACCATTCCTCACTGGATGCTGCATCCCCAGGCAGGCAGTAGGGCTGGGCTGATGATTGCCCTTGTTTCTTGCTCAAAGTTTCCAAGAATTTCCCTCTTGCAAGCCATTTCTCCAGCATTTGAGGGAGTGGGGGCTTGTTTCCTCTCCAGGCTTGCTGCAGATAATACAAACACAGTCTGCTGCCCTGCATCCAGGGTCCAGATCCTTGTTAGATGCAAATCCTCACAATTACAAATGTGCCCTGAGCACCAGGAGGTTAATCCAGCCCCCAGTGCTCTGCAGCCTCTGTCCACAAGTCCCTCAGGCATCAAGAGCCACGTTGCTAAGTAGCTGTTGTATCTCACACAAAAGAAAAAAAGCCTTCTGCAGCTGAAGCAATCTTAAAGCCTGTTTTAAGTGCAGAAATTAGAGGATAATACATGATCATTTTCCCTGGAAATAAACCTAGTATTTTCTCAGCTGCTGCACAAGTGACTGAGTTTGGTGCTTTGTGTATCATGCCCCTCTCCCCCCAAGAAATGGAGCTTAACAGACCTCCAAGAAAAAAAACAACAAACCAAGTGTCAGATAATTCAGAGTAAAGCATCTACCCCCATCTCCTTGACCCATTTCTGCCTGCAAACCCATTTTCCTCTAAAGCAATAGAGAGAGTGGGTAGCTGTTCTATGCCTTGCCCTAGAGATGGGGTTTAGTTGTGCCTCTGGGAGCTGCACAGAAACACCAGGGAGGCGAGGAGGAGGCTGCCAGGGTTCACAGCATGCGTGGGGTGTTGCATCTCATGCTTCAGCACTTACCAGAGAGCTGAGGGCCTGGCTGCAGCATAGGGCTGTGTCCACCAGGATGAAGCTCCTACAAACACATCCCTACAAGAGGCATTTTTATAGGCAAGAGAACAGCTTAAACACACAAGGGAGCCCCCCAGTCCTGAGACAGGAGGCCCAGAGTCACCCTGGCAGGTACAGCAATGAGGGCAAAAGGAAGCAGCAAAAAACACAGGAAAGGAAAGAAAAACAAGCCAGCAAAGAAGGGAGGGCGGGCTCTGGCACAGGACAGGAGGGTTTAAGTACGTTCAGCCAGGAGCAGTCCGGTCTGGAGAATCAATTATGGGAAGATAATTTGTCTGCTTGATTAAAACCTCCTTGGGGTATTGGCTCGGTGCTGGGAGAGCAGCAGAAGGTACCTGTTGTGGTGAGAGCACGATCTGTGACTTATTACTGCAGTCTGCACACGGCAGCCACAGGAGGGGAGGGGAGGCTCAACGGGCACAGACAGACGAGCACATTGCTTTTGTCTTTCAGACATTTCCCTTCAGTCATCACTGTCTGCACTCAGAGCCAAGTCGCTCCTGAGGGGACCCCAAGAGCCTCTCAGACTTGTCCCCTTTTAAGAAAGCTGCTGCTGCTGCAGACACAGCAGGAAAACGGCACCTGGATGCCGAGGGCGGCAGCGCAGCGGTGCCGGCTCAGACGTGCCCTCCAGTGGTCCCCACTCCAGCCTGGCTCCCATCCCCACTCCAAACCAGGCTCGTGCCCCGCAGCTTTACAAAAAGGAAGGTCTGAGGAGGCTTTGCACAGACAGAGACAAGGTTTAGGGTTGGGGAACGTGCCCCTGTGCTCATGTCTCCTTTCTGTGTCCCCCACCCACCCAGGATCTGCCGTGGTTTGACAGCACTGGGGAAGAGAATTTCCAGGAGCCACAGGCTGTGTTTGTACAAACCAGGCACTGAAGCAGTTACAGGCTTGTTTCTGTGCTTGTTTATCCTCTATTCCCCACTCCCAAGAAAGCCTTCTTCTAAACCCCTACAGGCCAGAGAAGGATGCTGTATCTCTTGTACCAGCCCCTTGTGGATACAGGGGACAGTTACCCTGTGCTCTCAGGTTCACACTCCATTTCATTCCTCCCTGTTTCACTTGATCCACATGAATGCACACCTGCAGTGTGCAGTGCATGCTCTGTTCTGCTAGAACAAGTACTCCAGATCAAACACCCAGATAAAATACCTCCCATGACTGAAAGGATAACTCTCATTGTGCTAGGGGAAACCTGAGATGTTTCCAGCTTCAAGGCTGCTCCCTGATAAATTTCATACAAGATGAACCCTCTTTTGTGGTAGTCTGTGCTACACCACTGCCAGTGATTGGTGACAAACTATACCAAAACACACATGTTGTTTTCAAGAAAGTTGAAGAAATACAGCTCTCAGAAGCCTGGGCTGATCTCAGGCATGTCTTGGATTAGCAGGAAAAGGGAGACTTGCTCAGTGCCACCCAGATCACAGCATGCACAGTTCACACCTGCTGCTGCAGCAGGTAGAAGAACTGCACTGCTGCTACAAGCAATGTGGTGGATTAATTCTTCACAGTCCCATCTTTGGGGCCCAGATAGTGGAGGGATATCAGGTACCATCTTCAAGGCCCTTTGGAGATCTCCCTTGTGTGCTCAGACCAATTATAATTCCCCAGCACATCAGTCCCTGCCATTTGACAGTTCAGACAAGCACTGCTCCCCTTGCCCCTCCTGTGATCCACCGAGGTGAGGTGTGTGGGTCATCTGATGTGTAAATATTTACTAAGTTATACATTTTACTTACAATACTTCAGGTCTGAATAGAAATTAATTCATGCTGTTATTAGCTCTCTGCCTTGAGAGCTCCTTAGTTCAAATGCATGCTTGCAGATATGGTTTCAGCCTTGCACAGTGAATTCCCATGGGAAATACAAGGACACATAGAAGTAGCCTGGGCAAAGTACTGCTAAACCCAGGACAGGAATTTGTGGGCTTAAGAATTGACAGGGCAGGCCATGAAGTCTTTCTGCCTCATGCTCCTACAAGAAGTGCAGCTGCAAGTTTGTGCCAGTGTTGAACACGTCCACAAAGGGCTGTGGCCTGCACTGGTGCACATTTACTGACTTATGTCAACACATGCTTATAGGGGATTATTAAAGGCTGAAATTTCTAGGATGCCATGAACTGCATATGTAAAGCAAAGGTGCAGAGGCAGTGCCACATCCTCTGCACAGCTCCAGCAGAGCCTGGCAATACTGAGGCTTGGAGGGACATTCTCACCTGCCACGGGAGCTCCTGCGCTGCTGCAGCCTCCTCCGAGGAAATTGCAAGTCCCCATGTCCCCATTGCTTTCAGGGACTGGCTGTGCCACAGGTGTGCAGGACACTACAGAGAGCCAGATAGGAAGAGTGGGGACCTTGGAAGTGGTGGTTAATGCTTAACCCACCCTGATCCTCCCAAACTCAATAAGGCACTTACAAGACCCCCTGAGCACATGCGTGGGGGGGGTCCTACTATGTCCTTAAGGCAAGATGTGTCTGAAAGAGCAGCAAGATTAACACAATTTACAGTAAGGGATTATGTTCTCCTGTGTTACACCAACACACATTTCTAGTCAATTTTGCAACGCATCCCCCAGCAGCTCCAGTAGCCCCACAGTTCCCACTTCTCACAGCACTCTTACAAACCCACAGTCCATCATTAAGCTCCACACCCCATTTCCTTTGCATCCCCAGCAGCCTCACAACACAGCTTTTCTACCTCCTCCTCACTCCCTTGGCCAGGCAGACAATAAAAGAAATGGCTGAAGCCATCTCTTAGCACCCTTATGCCCTCCCTGCCTCTTCATAGCTGCAGCAGATCCCAGATGATCTGCTGACCACAGAGACCCAAATAGGCAGCCACTGGTGCTGCTTACTGACTAAGTGCTGCTTGTGAAGGCTTTTAAAGGGACACACAGTAAATCCATTCCTGGAGTGCAGTTTGCCTATCTATTGTTTTCCTGATGAAACATCCATTTCTCAGACATTTAACACAGCTCTCCTCTGCAGCACAGAGCTTGGCATTCACCTGGAGAGGCAGCTCACAAACAGCCCCCACACAGAGTAAACCAGTGCTTTTGGAAAGTTTGCTTGCCTTGGTTATTTTTGCTTTCTATGCATGAGCGCCTGTATGGGCACATACAGACAAACCCTTTGACATCTGCTAGTGGGAGACACTTTAGCACCCTGTGTTGAGCCAGTTCTGACAAAGTTTATGTGTAAGTGCTGAAAATACACAGCAAAGCCCCAGAACAGTCTGCCCTGAGGTATGGTGCAAATGCTTGTTTCCCCAGTGAGCTCTGTTAACCCTTTCCATAACATTCTAGCCCATGTTGTTGATGAGTTCTCCCTGTCCCAAATGCTCTCGCACTTGGCTGAGATGGATGGGAGCACTCCCCTTAATGAGGCTTAAACCTTAACGCTCTCTCTGGATGTCTCCCCTTCCCCACCATCTCCCCATCCCCAGAACAGTCTGCCCTGAGGTATGGTGCAAATGCTTGTTTCCCCAGTGAGCTCTGTTAACCCTTTCCTTAACATTCTAGCCCATGTTGTTGATGAGTTCTCCCTGTCCCAAATGCTCCCTCACTTGGCTGAGAGTGCTCCCCTTAATGACGCTTAAACCTTAATGATCTCTCTCCATGCCTCCCCTTCTCCACCACCAGCCTGAAGAGCAGCCTGCAGAAGAAGGTGAGCCAGGACTCCATGGATTTGTCAGGGATCCCCCTGAGCATGCGGGATGTCCACCGCATGGCCTACTACCTGCAGAACAACGGCGACCGCCTGACCTCGGTGGACCTGAGCTTCACGGAGCTCAACGACGACATGGTGCGCCTGCTGCTGCCCTTCCTCGGGGCGCTGCCCAAACTCACCCACCTGTCCCTCAACGGCAACCGCCTGACGCGGGCCACCATGAAGGAGCTGACTGACACCATGAAGGACATGAACAAGTTCCCTTGCCTGGCCTGGGTTGACCTCGGCAACAACGTGGACGTCTCCTCCATGCCGCAGCCGCTGCTGGTGGGCCTGCGCAAGCGCCTCAGCCAGCAGACCACGCTGCCGACCATCTATGAGGCGCTTGACTGCGACTCTGAGATCGCCGGCGGGCACGAGGGCAGCCAGCCAGAGGATGAAGCAGCCGGAAGCACCCCGCCACGTGCTCTTTCTCAGCAGGGCTGCGAGAGGTGACTGAACAACGGGCCGGCGCTGGCACGCTGAAGCAACCCCAAGGAGAGGTTTTGAGTACAAACATCAAGCAGAGGGCCAGCTTGACCGGCTTCCCTTGGCTCTTTTCTCTCGCCTTCCCTGACATCTTCCCCCCCACCTGCTGTGAGACAAAGCCTGTCGTTCCCCCACGACGTGTTCCGCTCCCTCCCCTCGCTGCCAAACCCATTGCCCACGTTCCAGAGAGGAACCAGTGACTTACAGTGAACCTGGTCCCCAGGCAGGGTCTCACTGGAAGACGGGAAAAGACCTGTCGGAGTCAAGAATATCCTCCAGCAGCCATTGGGTTGAGGGAAAGGGGTTGGGGGAACCTAAAACAGAAACAGGCTTGTAGTTTACTTCCTTTCTTCCTTTTCCTATGCACCTTGGAAACCTTGGGACCTGCAGCCTTGAGTGTGAAAGGAGGTCCCCCAAGAGCCTAGTGCTGTGGAGCTTAGTGGAAGGGCTCAGAGGCCAGAGCTGGAGCCCGGCAGTGTGTCTCCCTCTTGTGTCTGGCTCCTTTTGTTTTGTTTTTTTCCTATTGTGTGTTTTGTATGAACGTCTGAACAAAGGGACCTGGTCAGAGACCATTGGATCACATAGGCTGGGGCGGACACATGGCTTGGAACTGCAGCATCAGGATATTTGCTGTGTGACCGGGGTGAGAGGGAGGGGAAGGAGGCATGTGTTGGTGGGAGCATGGGGGATGGGATGAGTTGGGATGGGATTGGGAGGAGGGGGGAGGAGAGGGAATGGGAAACGGTCTTGTGGATTAGTAGGATTGGTTTCAAAAACTGTGCTTTTGTACTAAAATTACAAGTTCCAAGGTACTACAATTGCAAGTTCCAAGTGAAATTGAGGAAAAGCTGACAGCTGAGCACCTAACTGTGGCACTAGAGGAGCGAGCAATGAATGTGCCAGAGGTGGGAGCTCCCCAGTCGGAAGCGCAGAGCGTCGGCTCCTCGTGGCACACTGCTCACCTCCTAATACAGCCATGACATTCCCAGTGCTGTCCAGAAACCAAGCCACTGATGCAGAATTTCCAGTGTTTTCCACATTGCTCATGCTCTATGTAAACATAATAAAGAGTTCTCTTGGATATGAGCGTGAAGCACTTCAGAGTCTGAATATCTGGGTTGTTCAGAGGTGTTGGAATATGGACCAGAGCCCTCATGCAGTGCCTGAAGGACAGGATCAGGTGCCATTCACATTGGCCAGTGTGATTCATTCCTTTAAGGAAGGAGAAACATGGGTGTTTATTTGTGGTAGGCTGCCATCTTTTGTGTTGCAAGGGGCTGGTAGAAGTAAACTGATGAGATTTAGCTGATAAGTCAAGTCCTCTCAATTACCTGTCCCCACAGGAATTCAGACTTGGATGAGTTTTTGAGAGTTAAAAGTTATAAAAATGAGACATATTAAAAAACCCTATAAAAATCCTCACCCTTCTAAATGAACAATGGTAACTTTGCCTTCCTCTGCTGATTGTCTGTGAGTCTTAGAGCAGCACACATAAGCAATGCTCCTATATGAAAACAACCCAAATTCACATGGAATAGATACACCCTTCATGCTCTTTCCTAATTTTACAAGACATTGCAAGAAGTAAATTGGTGATATTTTTCAAGGAATCTATTCCCTTTGGACCAAGAGTGTGAGGACACTGGAAGGTATTGGTGTCTCTGATCAACCACCAAAAGCCCTAAATAAAACCAGTTTGCTGAGGAAGAAAGGTGGGATTGGACACTGTGCTGAGCATTACAATCTGACACTGCAAATGCTGGACCCAGTCCTATCTGCATTCCAGTCACAGGTGCAGGACCTCATAACCTTCACATTAACCTGCACAAAGGTCACCACCTGCTCTCTTCTCACAACTCATTTTTCCCTTCTCAGTGTAGTATCTTAAAGAATCATAAAATTGGTTCAGTTGGGAAGGACCTTTGAGGTCATTGAGTCCAAATATTAACCCAGCAGTGCCAAACCCCCCCCTAGACCACACCCCTGAGTGCCACAGCTGCACCTCTTTTCCATAATTCCAAGGATGGTGACTCAACCACTGCCCTGGGTGACCTGTCCAATCCTTTACAGCCCAGTCCTGCTGGCCACACATACACAAGCCAGGATGCCACTGGCCTTTTCCACTCAGCAGCCTTCCAGCTGCTCTTCCCCAAGCCTGGAGTCATGTTTGGGATTGCTGAGACCCAGGTGCAGAACTTGGCACTTGTTGGACCTCAAACAATTGTCCTTGGACCATCAAATTCAGCCTGCCCAAACCCTTCTGCAGAGCCTTCCTACCCTCCAGCAGATCAACATTTCCACCCAACTCGGTGTCACCTGTGAATTCAGCTGAGGATGCCCTCAGTCCCCCATCCAGATGATCAATAAAGACATTAAACAGCACTGGCCCCACTACTGAGCCCTGGGGAAGCCACCAGTGACAGCCCCAGCTGGCTGCAGCTCCATTACCACCATCACCAGGCTCAGCCCTTCCTTCCCTTCCCTGCTATGGAAGAGATGGTATTATTTTTTTCTTTTCCTTCCAAAATACCTTTCAGCAAAAATGGAAAGTATTTCAGATGTCAGCAAGATCTGTTTAAACTCTTACAGTCTAAGCAGAGCAGCACTCTGCTCTGTGCCAAGAAGAAAACTCGGGCACAAAGCATTTAAATGAAGGCTTGGAGCTGCCTGGTGAGCCAGTGCAAATCTCCAAAGAGGGAGCAGTGCTGCTGAACATTTGGTCTTTGGCTCTGAGCACTGTGCCCCTAGGGCTCTGCATCAAGGCATCTTCACAGCTTTTCCATAGCAGCAGCACCCCCTGAAATGAGGTGAGACCCTCAGTGTGCAGTGCACCCCTGACACAGCTCTTCCTGCAGAGCCCCTGGCTCAGCCCTGCCTGCTCCCAGCCCTGCCCAAAGCTGTGCTTTCAGTCTGAGCTCTGCTGCCCAGCAGGACAGGGATGAGACATTCAGCCCCTTGCAGGGGAATTCTGTGCCAATCTCTGGCCATGCCACCTGCCAGTTGGCAGCTCCAGGATCTGGAGATAAAGCAGGAAACACAGGGGTTCAGCTGAGCAGCTGGGGCATGCATGTTTATTCCTCTATATGCACTTGGTTGCTTTGCCACAGAAAGCTCCCCATGGAGAACTGGTTGTGAATAAATGTGTGAAAATGCAAATTACAAAGTGCTGCCACTGCTTCTTGGATGAATTCTGATGGGCTGTAACTCAGCAGAAACAATCCCAGCACACCCAGCTACTCCCTGATCCCATGGATAGGAGAGGGGCTCTGGGCAGCACAGTGCATCCAGCTCTTCCCAAAGCTGGGAAGTGCTCCTGGGCCCCCTACAGATGAGGTGCATGCTCAAGGAGCAGACCTAGAAGCTCCCAATCTGCAATTTTCATAAAAGCTGAGTTCACCAACCAGAGAGGATGACACAACTGAAATGAGCCTTTCCTTGCACTGAATGAGAAGGCTCAGGGCTCTCAAAGGGTATTAAAGGGATGAGCTGCTAATTCAGGTCTCCTCACAGATAGCCAGAGGGACCAGCTTAGTTATGATGCTAAATCAGGGGACACCTGCCCTGCAGTGAGCCTGTCAGGTGACACAGCAGCATTCAAGACTCTCCTCAGGAGGTACTTGCTGCAATCTCAGGTGTTTGGAGCAGCACTCAGTACCAAGACTCAGACACCAGCCTCTCTCTCCACCATTTTCAGTTTGCCAGCCTCCCTCTGTGTGCAGGCTGCAGATGGTCAGCCTGGGATGGGACCTGGAAGCTGAAGGTGCAGCTGCACAGATGGTACCACAGCCCTTCCCCACCCCAGGCAGGTGATCAGCCTCACCACAGCTCTGTGGGACATTTGAGCACACTGTTCAGCAGCAGTGAGCTGGAAGGAGAGGTCACCAGGTGTAAAGCATCCCTTGAAGATGCTGGTGCAGCAGAGAGCTCCAGCAGCACCAGCCTGCAAAGCCCAGCCCTTATCTCTTATCACATGTGGAGATAACAAACACCACCACAGCTAATGAGGCCACTGGTGCCTGGGAGGGAAGAAGGAACAGTTACTCCAACAGAAAAGCACTTGTGCTCTCCCTGCCTAGGAGGACAACACCTACCTTGCAACTCCATCCTGTATTTTCCTTCAGCTTCTGACCACAAAACCCAGGTAAGCATCTTGGCATGCTCCAGGCAGCAATATACTGAGCACTGAGCTCAGCAAAAGCCTCCCTCACTTCAGTGACTCTGCCTAAATAAGTGGTAATTATTTTGTTGAGGTAAGGATGCAAAAAGCAGCTGGAAGCACAGGCTTGTCTAATCTATTTTTTATTTCACACACTTCAAAACCTGTCAAGGCCCCTTTCTTTTGCACTGCCAAGGCTCTTTTCTCAACTTCTAATTCATTTCTCATCACAAGCACTAGGAAGATAAAGGAGTTTGCACTGTTTGGGGCAGGCTGACAAGCTCCTTAGTGGACAGCTGCTGACAAAGATGTCAAAAATATAAATTGTTTCATCTTAAGAAAATAAACAAGAGAAGATTAAACATTGCCTTTAGAGATTGCTCTGCTCCCTACCAGAGGACGTGACTCAAAGCTTGGAAGAGGCAAATGCCTCAATACAAACTCACTTGCAGTCCCTGCATGGAAAAGCCTCCAAGGGCAGCTGGCAGGAAGCCCAGCCACCCCAGCTGGGGACATCATCCATAGACAAGAGAACCTGGTTTACAGTTTACTGGCCTTAAGCAGGTGCTCTCAGCATAGATGCTGGTTTAAGGCTGCCAAGGGGCACTTGACAAAACAAAACAGGAACACTGCTGGCTGAGGCCAGTGCTCCAGAAGGCCAGGACTGCCTCTTGATCCACTTTGAGACACCAAGTACTTGGTGACCCTCTGCTGCTCCTCTCAGATCTGACAGGATCCCAGTCCAGTGATGCTGATTCAAAACCAGAACAACCACTAAACACAATAACCACACAGGAACTGTTCTCCAGCAGAAGAGATCAGAGGAAAGACAGCTTTTACTCCATTTACTCCTTTTCCCAAAGGCCAGCACTCCCCCTGCTGCATCCAAATGGGCCTCAAAAGCAAGTGAGCCACAATGGCACTGACATTTCCTCCCACAGGAGCAGCAGGTTCATTCTGCTTGCATGCAGGGTGTGTCACAAAGGTGGAAGAGAGGCACTTCCCTGCTTTCTCACCAGCCAGTTCCTCAGCTTCTGGGAGGGTTATTCCTCCCAGTCCATTCTGTGTCGATCTGCCCCACATTGGACACAATGATGGGAAGCATTTGAAGCGCTATCAAAAATGACGTGGGCCTTATTTAACCTGTGTAATTCCCCTGAAATACATGGTGTCTCAACAGCAAAAACATGGCACAAAGTATGGGAAAAAGGCTCTTTCCCAGACTAGCAGAGGCAGCTGCCTTTGAGTTTCAATGTCAGACTTCTGAGCAGAGCTTTGTTCTTGATCCCCTGAAATCTTTTGGTTTGCAGAGCCAACAGTTTGATGTGTGCACCTTTGTCTGAACTCTGCTGCAACTGAAAAACTGAGCAAGTCACAACCCATCCACTCATTTTACCAACAGTTCTTTGGGGTTTTAGTTTTTCAGAAACTGCAATGGCAAGAGAGCCAAGTGGAGACCAAAGAAACAGATGTGATGTGT